ATGAAGTGCATTTTCAGTTGTTAATGTCTTGGTGTGGCAATAACGGATTATCTGGATGGCAGGGACGTTCCTACGGAAACTGAATGCCCATTTCCCTGAAACTTTTCCTGAATATGAACCCTCACACAACACATGAAAAGGACTGGTAGAGGTATACAGTCAGTGTTATGGGACATACGAGTAACTACCTGCACATTATGAAGCCTTCCCAGGAGAGGATGAATTTCCCAGAAGGTATTGCAGCACAGGAAACAGCATAGGTGGGGAATTCCAGATGTAGCCAGGAAATAGCAAATCGTTTTAGGTAGCCTAGTAGTGCCTCACGTGTGTTGGTGGGAGTGGGGGGGCAGGGGTTGTTACTGGAATGATCCATAGTGGCCAGAGGACAAGAGCTGTAGTAACACAAGGTTCCCAGCCTTTTGTTTTTCCCATTTTGGCTTTACCAACCCCCGATCCTTGCCTTCCCCATTCTCTAATGAAAACATTGCTTTGTTAAATTGTTTTATTTGTACTAGTGTGGCACAGAATGGTGGAAGAAAAGGGGCCACTTGAGAAACTTGACAAGTTCAGGGGAGGCCTGCGTGGCAGCCTCACTAACTCAGAGACCTAAAGAACCACACAGGGTGGCTGAAGCTAAAACTAGCTAACTAAAAGCAGTTCATGGCAGCTAGTCATGTCCCAGGCTGGTATTTTTTTTCCCTAACAAAGGTCAACCTTTAACATAAAGCCTGTTGTCTTTCTGCATCTAAAGTAACATACCTTTGCAAAGTCAAATTCCCTTTTTCCAAACCCCTCAAACCAGTCACCACACCAGGAGGAGACAGCAACCCCCCTCGTTGTTAACTGTTGACTTTTAACTGACCTGTCCTCACCTGTGTCAAAGTGTCTGTCATTTTACTTTCTATCCAATCCCCGAGGTTTCCGCTTTGCTTTCTCCCACCTCCCTAATCTCTCACCAGTGGATTTCATGTAACCCCGACAAGACAACCTTCTCCTTTGAACATAATGTATACAATCAGGTGCTAAACTGCCATTCCCCGAAGCATTTCTCAATCCGTTGAGGTTTTGCTTCCTGGTAGTTGTCAGTTTGGCTCAAACAAACTCACCAAAAATGCTCTACAGGTTTGAATGTTTCTTAGGTTGACGGAATCAAGCAGAAAGGGGAAAGCCCAGGAGGGATCAGCCATCAGTGCTTTTTAAAGGAAGCACTGGCTGGAGATACTCCAGTATGGAGAGTGGGGAGGGAGGAGGGAAAGGTGAGAGAAAACACACTGCAAGAGGAATTTCCACACTCGATGTATCCTCTTCATAGTGCTTGGGAAAAAATGAACTAGCTTTTTTGAAGTAACTTTTTGGTAGCTCGGCAGTTCTTTGCTTACTACATACACCCCGTGGGCTAGCTCAGGGCACCTTTCCAGGTGTTACAATGGTATGGGGTTGAATTCTGAAGGCCTGGCAGCTCCCAACAGATGCATCTGGGGAGAGGGGTGTATTGTCAACAGCATCATACTGTTCTTTGGTTATTCAGGGTCCTAATTCCTGCAGCAAGGGTCATGATGCATTCATCACAGAGAGGTGTAAAGGCAGCAGGAAGACAAGTTGGGTGGGGGGGAGGCACAGGAGATTTCAGAGACATTTCTAAAGTAGAATAACAAGAACTGATTATTGATTATACAAGGAGAATGAGGCAGGGAACAGGCAAGACTGAGGTGGGGTATCTGGGTGCGCAGATTCAGGGAACGGTGAACTGGTTGCTGCTGGGTTGGGGGTGGGGGCATGAGGGAGGGATGAGGGGGAGGAAGGGGAAAGTAAGCCAGGGCAAGAGTTCAGTGAAGGCTTCATCCTAGTGGAGCTGTGGTGGGAAAATCCGCACTGGCCAGTGGGCAGCTGGAAGGGCAAGTTTGAAGGGGCAAGGTCACAGGTCCTGGGTCAAGTTGTGGGAATCACTGTGTAGGGATGGAAGATGGAGTGTGTGGGATGTGACTAAACTAGGCCATGCGAAAAGCTGTTATTTTGAGAGGTCTATTTTGAAGTAAAATAAGTTGACAGAATTTGCCGGAAAGAGAAATAAATATAGGCTGGTGTTAGAATCTCTGCGCCCTACTCTGGTTTCGTTCATTGGGCAATAGGACAAACCCCCCTCAAAGGGGCGCGAGCAGTAGAATGGACTGGCTCATGTACACAGCAAGTCCAGCCATAGGTCCACTGCAGGGCATGCTAGATCCAGCAGCAGGTTCCTAGCAATGGCCTGGCTCAGGGTGTGTGTCTCCGTGAGGCTGGCTCCACGTGGACATGGAAGACTGCCAACAGCAAACAGAGCTGCATGGGTCTTCATTCAGAGGGAGAAGGGAGGCCTCTCCACCCACCACGAGATTCAGGCCCCGAGCCTTGGATTGGACCACCCCAGGTCACGAGCTTAGTGGAAATCAATCACAGGTAAGGGGATGGAATTACACCCAACAAAAAGCCCTCCCCCCAGAGCTAGGGGGACATCGATCATCCCTCCCCCAAATCTCGTGAAAGGCACACAATGGGGAGGGTGGGAATGGTGCTGCCGAAACAACCCACCAACAACGTTCACTAAGACAACTGAACTGCTCAGTGGCTGTAGTATGAAGTGCACTGGGGAGCTGTTCCATCCTAGCACAGGAGGTCTAACTGTATCAATTCCTGGTGCTTGTGTGTCTCCCACAACCGTTTCAGTTGCTGTTCTGGGAAAGAAATTCAGAGACCTACTCATGTGACTCCCAACTAGGAAAAAATCTCTAGTAACAGCCACAGGCCAGTATTTGTATATATGGGAATTTATCTTAAGAAAATAGTATTTGGTTATAAATATGTTCATCACAGAGTCATTTGCAATAGTGAAAAAAATGCAGACAACTTAGATGTCCAACCATAGACTTTTTAAATGTACAGTACACCCTTACTAAAGACACTACTGTAGATATAAGCTGTTCACAATGTGAAAATATTACAGAATAGTATTTGCAATTCCCTTTTTAAAGATTTTATTTATTATTTATTTATTTATTATTTATTTTAGAGAGAGGGGAAGGGAGGGAGAGAGGGAAACATCAATGTCTGGTTGCCTGTCTTGCGCTCCCTACTGGGGACCTGGCCCGCCACCCAGGCATGTGCCCTGGCTGGGAATTGAACCGACAACCCTTTGGTTCGCAGGCTGGTGCTCATTTCTCTGAGCCACACCGGCCAGGGCTGCAATTCCATTTTTGTGAAGAAAATTTTAGTGTCTTCTATATGGCTATTCATATAAGAATCTATCCTTAGGAAAACACGCAGGAGCTGTCGCAGGGATTCTGCCTGGGTGGCAGGATTGGAGTTGCCTTTCACTGGCTTTCGTTCACTTGGCCCACGTGTTGTCGACAGGGGACTGTGTTTCCTTTGTCCTCTAAGCATGTGGAGCATTTAGGCTGACCTAGTTTCCTCCCATCCCTCACCTCGTTTGCAGATGGAGGAACAGGCCCCTCTATTCAGGCTGTTTCTGGGAGACCACCGGTGGTTACCCATGTGCTCTGCAGGGCCGTGAAGCAACTTCGCTGTGGAAGAATCTTCACTGTCCCACTAATGGGATAAAACTCACCTCTCAGAGCTCTGAGACCCGCTTGCCCACTTTTGCCGTTTTTTCCCCTCAGTCTTGCTGAGTTAACATTTATACTAAATCGCCTGCAAATAGTAGAGATCTTATCTTCACTTTATTGATTGCAATGACCTTCTTAGCTGACCCTCAAGTAATTTAACCCACATCCTAATGTTCCAATTAAAATCGTATCAAGTAAGAGTAATTGGATTTTCCTTTGCATTTTGTGCAAGCTTTCCTCACCTACGCGGCTCTTACTCCTGTGGCACAGTTAGGGTTCTCAGGCATGAAGTGGTGTGTTAAATGGCATTTCTACTCACTCAACATGTATTCACGAGCAGTTACTACTTGAGGGGCGAAGAAGTGAGTTAGCCTGGCCACATGCTTCCCTAGGTTGTGGGGCGGACGGAGATCACTCGGGCTGCAGCCCGGGGTCTCCGAGGGCACCGAGTGCGAGGCACCAAGTGGGAGCGCCGCTCCAGGAGCCCGAGAGCACTCCGGGACGCCCACGGGCTGCCGCCATCCGGGAGCCGGTCTGTACGGGCAAACAGGGACAGCGAGTTGCTCTGACGCAGGTGGGATCGAACACCTTAAAAGGATAAATGAAAAGACACACAAACACACACATTTTCGTGTCGCCGGCAGGAGATGTACTGTTTCCCTAGAGACGCCAACAAGGACGTTGTGGAAGGGGTGGCACCGGACCAGGGTTTTTCTGAAGGCTGTAATTTTATATTTGAAAATTAGTCAAGATTCTGTCAGATTTCTCATATTTTACAGATTACTTTGAAAGGGGCTAGACATCGACTTAAGTGTTTTTCTTAAAATAACCTTGAAAGTCAAATTATTTTAAGTGTAGAGACTTCCCGAGAAGGCTGCCAGTCTTGCTCACACGGCACACCCCAACAGTTAGACTCAGTGTTAGTTAGGGTGGCCGGTCCTCCTGGGATTCAGTGACTCCAAGTTCTCCCCAATATTGATTAGGTCTCTTCTCCTCTTTCTGGTCCTTCGATGACAGAGGAGAGAGCAAGTTCTCCCCCCACCTCAGGCGTGCCTACTGTTATGGACGGAACTGTCTTCCCCAGCAGACCTGTGTGGAAGCCTCACCCTCCGTCCTCGGAATGAGGCTGGATTCAGAGACAGGGCCTGTAGAAAGGAGATCAAGGTAGGAGGAGGACGTGACGGTGAGCCCTGGTCCCGTCGGACTGGTGTCCTTGTACGGAGAGGACATTTGCACATAGAAAGACACCGGGGAAACACACACACGCACATGCAGAGGAAGACCATGAGAGGACGCGGTGAGAAGGGGCCGTCCGCTGGCCCAGGAGAGAGGCCTCAGACGAACCCCGTCCACATCCCAGCTGTGAGAAAATGAATGACTGCTGCAGAAGCCACCCAGTCTACAGTATTTTATTATGGCAGCCTAGCAAAGTCATACACCCACCCGCTGAAAGCCTCTAGAAAATCCCATGCTTTCATCAAATCTTTATTGAGCACCTATAAAGCGTGAGCGACATCAAAGTGTATAAAGTGGTTACTGACATTAGCAAACTCTTCTGGGGAAATAGAATCTATAAATATAATCGTGGAAAAAAACAGTTAATGGAAAGTGTCTCAAATGTGGTGGAGACACCCAGGGGTCCAGAGAGGCGGGAATCGGCTGGGATCGGGGACTCATGCCAGGCTTCCTGGAGCAGAATGGGGGGGGGGGGGGCCAGGGCCTGACGGGCTCCACAAGACCTCACGAGACGGCCCGAGAGGAAAACAGTCCCAACAGAAGGCAATGGGATGAACCGACCAGGGCCCGCTGGAGAAGTAAGTTAGTCTAAATATCGGACTAAATGTGGGAAAATAACAACCTGATCATTCAGGGCCTACAAAGGGACTATTTCATTAAATTTTATAAGCGAGAAGTAGAATGAAATTTAGCTGTAATTGTTTAAGACAAATGTTTTAAAAAGTGTAGAAAATTTTATCTGTCAAATTTCAGGGATTTTCTTTTGTTACTGTTGTGAGTAGGTATCTCAATATTCAGATTTGCAGTCTGAGTAGAACAAATGATCTCATCTCCCATCACACTCTACCTCCCACAGATATTTTTATAACCTATTAGTTTATTCTTAGAAAAGAAAGACATTTAAGTCCTTAAAATTAGTATTCGTTGAACATAAGAACAGAATCAATAGTTTCTCTATTTTTAACTTTCTAAGAAGGTAACAAGGTTTTAAAGTACATAATTCTTGGTCACCAGTAATATCCTACTTCCTCAATTCTAAGATGTACTTTTTTTTCACATTTCAGTATTTCTGAAATAAGACACATCTAGAATTTAATATGTACGATTAATAACGGAGTTTTTCCCACTGAAAAGCTACAATTACATCAATAGTGCATGTTACAATCGATGGCATCTCAAACAGAGGGAAGAGAGTGATGAGGAGAACCACTGTGCATCAGGACTCAGCTCTACAGTAGCCATGGTCCCTCGGTGTGAGTTTCAGAGGGGAACCATGCCGTTGGGGACACCACGAAAGTCAGGCAGCATCCACATCCATGCCCGAGTCAGAGAGGGCAGCCCTCATAGTCACACGACAAGGTTCGTACCTCATGGTACCAATCCTGTCACCAAGGCAACCCATGCAAAAAAGGAGGCAGGAGGGGAGTTTCCTGATGCTCAAGCCCAGGAGCTCAGCTCACCATTCGGTGTCACCCGAGGGGCTCACTGCCACGACGCCGGCCAGGGCCCCGCCCGAGTATGCCACGCCAGCCGGCCAGCAGGCCTAACTGAAATACCAGATGGAATTTAAACACCAGTGGAGGGCAGCTCTTCCACTTTTGCTCACAGGGCCCTAGTTCAGCCCACACAAAGGTGCCGCCAGACTCGCTCTAAAACAGGTGTTTGGAAATGAGGAAGGTCATCGTGCAAATATGAGCCACGCAAAACTGTTCAGTCTTAAGTAGATGACGTCAGATATCTCGCAGAGAAACGAGGGGATGGACTTGGAGTCTGTTCTCAGTGCCGTGCTGCCAGACCACCAGACGGTCACCATCGGGGCTGCAGAGCCACCTTCACCTGCTGGCTTTTCTCCCTGAGAGCAGGGCCGGGGCCGCGGGGGCCTCCGTGTGTCATCGCAGAAGCAAGCCTGAGGTGCAACCACTGCTGTCCCCACTCTGCAAAGGAAGGAACCAAGGCTTCCGACGAGTGAATAACCCGGCTTCTGTCCCTCCCTCCACAGAGGAGAGCCTGTCTGAGGACAGAGCAAGGCGGCGGCCACCTGTAAGCCAGGAGAGACCTCACCCCAAAATGGGCCTGCCCGTCCCTTGGTCTGGGTCTTCAAGCCTCCAAATCAATTACTGTGGAACTTAGGATCCTGGGGAACTTACATGAACTGCCTCTTGACAAGCAAGTGTCTGAGATCTACTAGAAACTCTGTCCATGATCAAAGCGGGGCAAAACTAAATCAGGGACTGGAATAAACTACTCGTTGTGTCTGCAGTGGGGGTGCAGAGTGATAGTGCGACAGACGTGCTCGCTCAGCTGGCTGCTCCAACAAGTCTCTCTCCGCTCGGTCAGGTGACCCGGTTCCAGCCACCTGGTTCGGTCCGGCACAGCCTCCGGCTCCGAGTCCCACACAGAGCTGCAGAAAGATCCTAGGAACACTGGCTGAGAGTTTGCCTCTACCCTTTAGACGTCTCTAAGATCTCGTAACCGTGTCTCTTCTTTGCTTCTAAGCACTAGTCCCATTTTCCACCTAATTTCTTTTCATCATCGTGAATGTAAGCAACAAAATCTCTGGCGGTAGATTCTTATGTTGAGGTCTAAAGTCAGCCACGGTTACCAGCTTTCCAAAGTATGAGAATATTCCTTTATGTACCCGAGAATCAATATCCTCAACTGTAGAAAGTATATATTAATACTATCTCGAAGGAAACAATAAATTAACTTAAAGATAAGGAAAGAGTGAATAACCTGGCCGAGGATGCACGGCCAGGCAGTGTTCGTCAGTGCGGGAACCAGGAGGTTCAATCTCCAGGCTGCGCGGCCTTCTGCACTGCATAAGAACGGGAGACACGCGCACTGGGTGAGAGTCGGCCCACGGAGCAGGTCCGAATTCTCAACACCTCCTCCAGTCAACCAACATCTGGGTGACTCTGTACCATCAAAGGACAATGGCAAAAAGTATTTGAAAAATAAATATTTAATAATAATGTGACCATCATTAGAATTTCTCTTTTAGACAACCTTTGTCAAAATTCTTTCCATCATTTTCAGATTCTGTCTAAAAATAACTGTCATTGTAATTCTCTTTACAAGTGGGGTTTAAGCCACTGTACAGTATTTTCATATTTAATTTAAAACATTTATCCTATGTAACATATTCTTATATGAATAAAACTTCACATTTTCATTTTCTTCTGACTCTGCAAAAGAATGCTACATGCCCACTTGTCGGATAAAAGAGGCTGAAGTAACACAGTTAGAAGGGACTGAAAGAGAGGAAGGAGACACAGAGACAGAGCCAGCAAACCCGCTAAGGATGGGGCAGCTCCCCGGGCCCCCAGAGATACTGCCACGGGGCCTATAAACTAGCAAATACCACCTGCCTGTTAGGTAGCTCAGAAAGGTGCACACCTTTGAAAATGACAGAATTTAAGTCCAGCAGGGCACTTGCAGAAAATGACATCAAAGGTTGGGCTATAAATCTCTCTTATTCTCAAGTCACTGGACATTTAAGAGGAAAGATATTGATGGACTCTTTCTCTCCTTTTCTTCTTCTTTGTAACAGACGTATGATTCATGGACTGTCCTTTAGCGGTCTCCATTTTCATCTTATTACTTTTCCTTTGCTTCTGCTTTCTGACAGCTCTGAAAAACAAGGTGCTAAATTATTTTGTAGAATGAGCACAGTGAATAATGTAATTAGGTTGAAGTTTAATTAACTAGCTAACCAAGTAAGTAAACAGAAGGGGAAGAATTTACTGTATTATAAGCATAAACCCTCAGAATCCTAAGCCAAAATAACAAGCAGACAGAGTCCAGGCCAAGTCCAGTATCTGAGAAAAGGAGTTTCTTTGAAAGACGGTTACTACAGATTTACAATAGTCTATTCAAGACAAACACATAATAGAGGTAAATGGTCAAACCAATGAGCTGGCAGTTTTCTGGTCGGTCCCCCCACCCCACATTTATACTGCTCAACTCAGCAGTGCAGTCCCCAAACCCTGAACTGCACTCTTCAGAAAAAGGACGGGTATACTCTGGCGGTGGCAGAGGCGGAACACTGAAGCAGCACGACAGAAAACACTGGCTCGTCTCGTGAGCCTGGTGGCTGACTTCTCCTGCCCCTAGATCTACCAGTCCGCACACGTGCGGCACGAGCCGCCCACACCTGGCGGTCCAGGTCTTCTTGAAGACTGGCTTCCAAGTGAACAGGCTGGAACGTGCCCTCTACCAACACTAAACCACACCACAAGAAAACCAGGTCCTTTGTTTCTGGTGTGCTCTGAACTGGCTCACAGGCAATCTACTGCAGAAAAAGACTGCTAGTCTGCTCATTCACTTTCTCCAAACTATCAGAATCACGCCATTTACTGCATCACAAACCAAGGCATGAGCTGGTGTTGCCAGCCTGGCGAACCTGGAACCTTCTCATGGCTGTGCAGCAACATTGATCTTTAGATTTATCCTCCGAAACAGCAGCAAGTGCCAGGGAAAAGCTTCCTCTTGATATGGTCAGGACGAAGACATGGGAAAGGAGCTTCATAAAAAGTACATAATCCCCCAGTGAACCCAACTCAGGCCTCACTGTGTGTTCACTCAGCGTCTGTGTCGGATGCTGGGGATACAGGACGGGCATCTCTGACTTCAGGGAGCTGGGAGACCGAGACACGGCAGACAGCACCCTGCCCCCTCCTCCCACCTCTCCGTAGGGGCAGAAGCTGATGCTGTGAACTCATCCAGGGAGGAGGGGGCAGAACGAGTCTGATTCTAGAACCTCTGCTCATCATTACCTTGGTACTATATACTCTACTATAAATTAGGTAGGTGTGTAAAATGCTAAGCATATAATAATCACTAAATAAATACACTAGCTATTATTAGTAGCTCCATAAGACTATTATTCAAAATTTTGCTTGATAACTTTAAATTTTTCCATTTTTAGATTTTGTACTATGGGTGGGGGTATAAAACAAAGAAAACAATCATCTTTTTACTGTTTTGTGCATGTTATATAAACCTCCTTCCTCTCCAGCCATTCTTTAAAAAAGTAGGATAATGTCCTGATAAGTGATAATTGTGCAAATTTAATGAAGTATAACCTCTTAATGGCAAAGTCAATGAAGCTATGCATGCCTGTATACAAAATCTGAACAAATTTTCTTTGGCTTATCCACTTATAAGAAGAACTAAACAGGAACCAGATTTTACTAGAGGATGCAGTAACAGAAACAGAAAAATATTCACTTGTAATATGAATAAATAAAACTTTCCAGAGATAAAGTTTTCCAACAGTGATGAAGTGACTGAGTATAAATCAATTAATTATTTTGCCTTATAATTAAATTGACCTAGTATTTGTCCTCTAAATTTGGTATTTACATAACTGATAAAATGAGCTTTGACCACAAGAGGGAGCCAGCATCATTCCAGTTCACAACCAAAGGAAAATTAATACTAAGGGAAAGCCAATTAATATGAGAGCTATAAAATACCTACGATGAAAAGATCTGTCATGCTATATACGCTAAAATAGGCCATTAAAATTATTTTTTCTATTGTAAAAAAGTTTTTCATTTCCAACTTCATTATACAATTTTTTTTGAAAGCAATAGCTTAAAGTAACTGTTAACAGTTTAGCAGTTTTCCCTGAGAAAAATACCACATCCTAAGGGATTTGGTCTTTGAATTAAACTTGATAAATATCTAGCACTGAAAGATATTAGATGGCTTCCCTCAATGAAACCAATGTATCACCACCAAACAGACTAGCCAGGGCTATTTAAGCACCTGCAAAGAGCCTGCAATGCAGTGCCACAGGCAAAGTCAGCTTCCGCCTTCCCCAGGCTCACCGACTCTAGCAGAGTCACGTTACTGACTCCTGTCTGCACGCAGAACTACCCTGGAAGTAGTGCGACAACCCCAGAACAGCAGCTTATTCTGGAAGGTTTCTAAGGAAAAATATTTTGTAAGATTCTTCAATACACCTTTTTAATTAATTAAAAATATACCACTTCTATCCTGGATTACTTAGTGGAAATAATTATTTAAAGTAAATTTGATAAAAAGTAATGGAAAAGTCAGTTTAAATAGTAGGTACAATTCAAATGGCTGGAACTTAATGGAACAAAATAATTTCCACTGACAAAAAAACAAACGAGAAAGAATTTTAACATAATCATAGTTACCAAAACAATGGACATTTCTATTAGTAATAGATATTTTTTAAAATCACAAGTCATGTGATAGCTATAATTTGATCCTGATCTCAATTCCCATGTAATGTTCAACTGGGCTATCTGGTTTTCTTTTATTTTTGTTTTAGTGTTTTTCCCATGACCATTTAACTGCCCCCTTACATTCCCCTCCCCCCTGCAATCACCACACTGCTGTCCACGACCATGAGTCCCTTTTCCTCTCTGCTCGATCCCTCCACCCCCTAACCTCCCTCGACCAAAGCTGTCACCTGCTCTCCATCTATGAGTCTGTCTGTTTTGCATGTTAGTTCAGTCTGTTCATTAGATTCCACATATGAGTGAGATCATACGGTATTTGTCTTTTGCTGACTGGCTTATTTCACTTAGCATAATGTTCTCCAGGTCCATCCATGCTGTCCCAAAGGGTAAAATTTTCTTCTTTTTACAGCTGAGTAGTATTCTATTGTGTAAATGTAACATAGTTTTCATATCAATAAAACAAGAGGACTCAATACCCTTTTAGTTTAAAAATATATACATACATATAGTCTTTCAAGTTAGCTCAGTTGGAATAGCAATGGTTTTTCTAAACATGCTCTCGTCTTTGGTGTAACCGTGCTCGTAGTGACAACCAATGTCGAATATTGGTGAGAGGAGGGAAAGCATGATGGAAAAAAGGTAAAAATTAAAACTTGAAATATTTAAATATTAAGTATGTCTATGTGTTTTTCTTGAAGTCTGACACAACTTAAAGGAATAACTTCATTTTCCAATGTGTCCACTGTGGAGTTACACATTTCATGCTATCTGAGATGCCTTCTGCAGCCTTACCCACGGCTCTGAGCCTGCAGCCACCCCGTCCTGAATTAAATGTCGCGCCCTTCCATAAAGCCCGAGCTCTCGCACCCCAAAAACTGTAATCTCACGTTAACCACAGGAGATACAAAGTCAGTCACTTTCTACCTTACATCCTGCTTATTTTCATGTCCTACCAGTAAATCCTAAGCTCCTGGACTCATCCTCATGTCCTCCCTCCCCTGTCTATTTACACAATACGTAGCGGTGAAAAAAAACAATTAATTTAGCACTTTTGAATCCTCTACATCACACTTTTGTGAATTGCTCTGTACATATCACACAAGGAAATTTTTTTCTCGTAAATAAAAGAATTCAACTAACTTGTTAACTTTCCTAGAAGCAGAGATCTTAGGACAAGCACTGCGTTTATGATCTAATTCCCCGCAAACGAAGCAGCCGTCTCTGGGGCCCTCGCAAGAATGATCTGGAAGAGCACAGCGACTGCAAGTGCTGCAGTGGATCCAGGCTGCAAAATAAAAATGATGGTTTAGAGGAGGTTCATTTAATGTAATTTTTCATTTGATTAACCTCTGTAATAGGGAAGCATGAACAGTGTTTACTTTGATTACGGTGATGCGTTTGCATAGCTGGTTAGACTCTGGCTAACGAGCCCAAAGTGGAGAGGCTGGAATCCCTTGCAAACCAGCTAACTTCTTTCTGAGACTCGGCCACAAGTCTAGCCCTTCTCTCCCGAGTCACGATCTGAGGGCTGCAGACACGGGGGTGCTGGCCGAGTGACACAGAGCCCTATCAAAATAAGCCAAACCTGTAGCGTTGGTGGTAAGTGGTCAGCACAGCTGCCTTCCAAAACAAGCCAAACCACACGCTACACTGAAAAAGGTTAGCAGTCACGTCTCTCTGCGGTGTAGAGCAATGTACATTTTGGTAACTGTAAAAATTACAAAGCAAGGAAATCAATAAAGGTCTCTATATTAACTGTTCTTTTATAAATACAGTTAAATACAAATCCTATACAGATGAAGAAAAACTCAAATGTTTTCACAGGATCTCAAACACTAAGTCTAAATACTTACAAGGCTTTACACACTTTTTGCAGAGAAAGCAATGGTTCCATTTCCTACCGTCCTACAAAAACAATTTTAAATTACATTTAATTTGTCATTAAAAATCAAGTCCTACAATTAAAAATTAAAATGTCTTATCAAAATCTGCATAAATTATTAATTTCTTATTTCTCACTTTCCTGGGCTTCAAAATTACATACTTTGATTTTAATTTATGCATTTCTCCGCTCAACTCAGCACCTCATTGCTGGGCCGTGACTTCCCTAACTCCAGAACTGGGGGATTTAACTGAATGATCTTGAAAGTCCACTCCAGACCAAGTACCCTAATCTGCACAAAGAAGGGCTCAATGACAATTTCAAGAGAATTAATGATTCAAAATTTTTGTGTCTGCCCAGTATAATCCTTAATAAAACTCATATTTAAAAACTATGTAATTTAGAAACAGAGATTATAGGTTACTATCTGGGTAGTTTTAAAACGGTGAAGTAACTCGTACCTAGAAAAGTACACAGAACACATACACCCAGTTGAATGAGGATATCAAGTGCCCCAGCAGGTCAGAAAGCAGAACACCGTCAGCCCCTAGGACACCTCCCCACGGGCCCCTCCCCAACCCAGCTTTCGGCTCCTCCCCACTAACTCCCATGCTCGCTTTTGTGGTGGTCCCTCCCTTGTCATCATTTATTTTTACCACTACGGGTACATCTGTAAATAATAGTTTTATTTCCCACATTTTGAACTTTCATGTTCTGGGCATCATGTTCTTAAATGTAGAGTACAGATAATTGCTAGATGAACTGAAAATGTATGTGATCAGATGTGTTAACATAATTACAAACTAGTATAGAGAATATGGAAGAATAATATGTGCTTATCGGCCAAATTAAACTTTACATGTCCTTTCTGGCTGGATTCATTTAAAGTAACCGGGCAACTTCAGGGTGACCCCCCCCTTCTTAAAAAATAAAGAGGGGCTCCGTCCCGTGGAGCCTCCCTCGCCGCCCAGGGTGAGGAGGGACTGCCCTACCCACCCGGGATACCGAGAGCCGCCATCGTCAGAGCACGGACAGCTCTCGGGAAAGGGCCCGGCGCGGAAAAAGTGCACAGACGTGTTATCAGCTACAACTTCACCACAGCAGTGACAGTACCTAGGGGTTCGGTGCCTTATTAGAAACACCATAATTCTGTGCTCACCGAAATGCAGTGCCTTATTTAAAGCGCTACTATGCCTGGCAGTCATACAGTACCACGTGCAAGTGACTTGAGATAACTATTAGTGACGCGCTCCGAGCCGTTGAGCGGGCTCCCCTCCCGCCACCCCGTGAACGGGTGAGTGATGCCCACACTGTCCTGTCCTCAGCAGCCCCGCTCAGCGCCCGCAGGCTCACGCCTGTGGCTTCCTCTACGGAGGGGCCCCAGCTCACATCCGGTCTCCTCTTTTCCCGCTGCCTTCCGTGTGCCCAGCACCGTCGTCCTTCCCAAGAGCCCCGCACCCTCGGGTTGTGCCCAGAGTAGGACAGCCTCGGCTCTGTCACTTTTGCCTCCGACAGTGTCCCAGGCTTAGTTCGCTCCAGGACCCTCTCGTTTGTCTAAGTATTTCTAAAAGCCTGTCCTACTTTATAATTAGAAGTAAAATACTGTATTAAAATATAATAAATAATATGATATTAATACAAATTTTATTAATATAACATGAAACAGGTAATGAAAACTAGCAAACTTAAATAAAACTAACAATATCTTTGAAGAAAAATGTGCTCCAACAAAAATGATACCTTGGACGTGCAAGAGCCGCAGTACTCGCAGTGCTGGTTCTCCAGGGAAATGTATCGCTCACACAAAGGGCAAAATCTGCGGAGGAGAGAATGACTTGGAGAAGTCAACTGCATACACGAAGACTGGGTGTAACCCAGACTTAATTCAACATAGAATTATGGGCCAGAGTTAAAAGTAACAGAGTGACACGAGCCAACGTTCAAAACATGTCGATGTCGGACACACGGAACTGTGTTTCCGCGGCTTGCGTGCTCCAAGGGCCCACCGGGACCGTACCTGTACCCTTCCTCCACAGGAAGGGCTATTCTGCTGGGTGGGATGTTGGTGAAAATACGCACAGGAGACTGTTTCCGACCTGTCTTTCCATGTTTATAAAGTGCATGATTATCATAATCTACCTAGAAAGTTAAAAAAAAACAGAAAAAGAAAATTTACTCAAATGAATCAATACTCTTTAAGATTCTTTAACCAATAAATGAACAAGCTGATGCCAAGATACAAGTTAAACTGAAGTATTTAATAAGAAATTCTGCACCCTGGCTGGCGTAGCTCAGTGGATTGAGCGCGGGCCGCGAACCAAAGTGTCGCAGGTTCGATTCCCAGCCAGGGCACATGCCTGGGTTGCAGGCCATGGCCCCCAGCAACCACACATTGATGTTTCTCTCTCTCTCTCTATCTCCTTCCCTTCCCTCTCTAAAAATAAATAAAATCTTTTAAAAAAAAAGAAATTCTTAAAAACTAGAGTTCACTTGCTAATCAGCAGCCCCAGAAAGGCCTCTACCTGAGTGAAATTTGATTATAAAACCAGTAAAATTTGTTACAATAAATTCACATTGCCTAGCATTGAGAACTCTAACCTTTTACCCAATACAATAGACTTTACAAGAAAGTCTACTATGTAATTAAAAACTTAGGTTTTGTAAGCAGCACAAATTGGTAGTCACAAACTAGGAGGATGTAAGGTGCAGCACAGGGAATACAGTCAGTAATACTGTAATGACCATGCGTGGTGTAGGACGGGTACAGGAAAATACCAGGGGAAGGACCACTATGTGAAGTGCATGGCTGTCCGCCCGCTGTGCTGTACACCTGATACTAATGCAAAGTACTGTTGACAAAAAAATTATTTTTCAAGAATTTAGCTTTGGGTGTTAAAACATTCCACCTTTGAAGACACGTGCCACCTTGGTTGGGGCTCTTCACGTTCTGTGTGTAAATTCACCACACGTCCATCTCCAGCTCCCCGGTCCCAGAGCGGCCTCAGTGTGGCTGGCCCTCCACCGGGCACTAGCTGACAGAGCACAGGTCTGCTCACCTGAGGTGTGGCCTTAAGCCAGTTTGCGTGATTCTCACCTTAGAGGTGTGGTGAAGGTTAATAATGGATGCGATGTGCGTAACACCCTGAGTTCAGGACCTGGAGTGTGGCTGAAGCAGACAGAAAGATGGCGAGAAGAGGATTCCTAACTGCAGTTCTCCCCACGATGGCACCCTCAAGCATCACCTCTCTTCCCAAGATCCCTACTACCTCAACGTTCAGGGTCAGCAGATCATCTTAAAGGTAAACAGAAGCTAACAAACATGATTTCTATCAGCTTCCTGCTCCTGTCCCCCCACCAACCTCTCTATTACCCATACACAGTTTCGGTTTGTTTTAAACTTGCTATGGATCCACCCAGCCACTGAGTCCGTCTTTCTTCCAATCAGTGATCAGTCTTTCTCGGCGCCCACAGTGTGGATCCCCTAGGGTCTCATTAGGACTGCAGATTCTTGCCCCACCTAGGACCCAATAAAACAGAAACTCGGGGGTGGGGCAAGCAATCTGCATGTTTAACAAGCCTTTCTGGCACACTAAAGTAGAACTACTGCATTAGATTACCCACAAGAATACCATGAGATTTTTATGAGGTCAATATGGTAGATCCCAACTTTCAAATAAGTTGTAATCACCTGCTTAGATTCTAAACAGGAACATACTTAAGAATTTACCACGGAACTGGCTCACAAGCTGGCTATTTAATGAGCCAACCACAAAAAGGTAAGGAATGGATGACCACAGAATGAGAGGCCTTTAAAGGGAGAGCCCTGAGCTCTCTCTGCGGCCCTGCCGATGCCTACTGGATCTGTGGGGGTCACAGGAGCTTCAGCAGTAGGGGAAAGTAAGGACGGGATAAGGAGACCCAGCCACATGGGGGACAGCCTGAAGAAAGCCCCGGGGCGGGGTGGGGCAGGCTCCTGTCGGTGGCAGTACAGTGAGTCCACCTGCAGCACAACTGTAAAAGCCAGGGCGAGGTTAGGTCACCTTTGAAGCCCTGCACTCAGTCTCTCCATGTTAAGACAGACATGAATAAAACCAGCTTACTTCCACTCGGAAACCAGGAGGGTTTAGAGTTGAACATACTGGAGGTGTCTATTCAGAAAGGGGAAGACAGGGAGGATCTGACAGGTACTTGATAAGTGAAGGGGCATCACATGGCATAGAAATTAGGCTTATCCCTTACTGCTTTGGAGAACAGAAGCAGGACCAATGGTTAGAAGTTAATAGGGAGCATATTTTATCTCAATACGAGAGAATGTTCTAACAATTAGAGCTATTAAATAAACTGCGTTGCCCTGGAAGGCTGCAGGACTGTGCGCACCAAAAGTATTCAAGTGAGCTAGATGACTGATTGCCGTGAACTGAGCGGAGAGGACTATTACGCGGGGAAGTTAGCCCACGCGTCCTCTGTTTCTTTCCAACTTTAAAATTCTGTGAATATATGTCAGCTATTAGAGGCTAAGACACAAAAGTAGATTTTACTTCAAAAGCACCTTAAAATAGTACCTTCGGTAGTTTTCTTTTACAATGATCTAAATTCATCATTTTCCCCACTGCGCTCCTCTTTGTGCTCTATAAATATATGGCGCCTTATTAAACTCAACAGACATTTTCAACATTTATGAGCGTCATAAGAAAAAAAATTCTTTCCAAGAGAATCTCAGGAAGATTTGCAAATATTGGGAAAAAGAGTATCTTAGATTTCTAGCAAATGGACTATCCCATGCAATATAACAGATAGCAGATGGAAGAGAAGGCAAAAAAAAAAAAAAAAACAAGACCAATTTCTTTACGGTTACCAAAGGAGTCAGAGAATATAGTGTCAGGAAGGTGGTTGATTGCTTGATTTTGCATAACCTAATTGAGATTATTATTATTTTTAAATGCGGGTTTGTTGTGCTAATTAACTATAAACATATGGTATGTAAAATGCATGCTGCCCGGGTAAATTAATGTACCTCTAACATACATCCATATTTCATAGCTTCATCCACACAAATAAACCTCCTATGGAAGCGCTGCAAAGCAAACACAATTTTGCAAATTGCCTATCACTACTGGTAGAGCTGATACACCATTTTCCCATCATTATCCCTGACATTTCGCTCACAATGATGATGAGCAGCATTTTCAAATAGAGAATTTCTCCCAAGGAACTGATTAATGTGATGAAGTACTGTATAGAAATGAGGGAAAGCACAAAATCTCTGTACTTCCTAACTTTTAATTTTATCTCTACGCAAATTTCCTCTGTAACATGAGACTGAAACTAGTTATGTGGAAACCAAGACATTCAAGTCAACAAATATTTATTTTGAACCTACTATGCTCCAGGCATCACGCTGGGAAACAAAGATGAACGCAAACAGAGCACTTGCACTTTCAGAACTCCCTGAGGACTGTGTTCTACTTCATTTCAGTGTATTGAAAAGATCCCACGTGAGCTGACTCTTCAACTCTATAACCAACTTTAACGTCTTTCACTCACACTCTCCATATCCCACGGAACCTCATTTAAAATTACTGTTATGTAGCCTGGGGCAAAAGTAGGTTTACAGTTGTTAATTTGGAAAATAACATAATTAATAAATAATAATACAAGAATAAAGTGTGTTTCACATACAACTGTAAACCTACTTTTGTCTATGTATTTTTCCCCTTGTCACTCCAAACCCACTGAATGTTTTATTATATACTGAGTCTCAAGAGTTGCAGTTGTTATTTTACAATCGTACCTCAATATTTTAATTTACAATCATACCTCAGAAATTCCTATTAAAATATCTTCATTTCTAAACATGACACAAGACTCAAAAAAGTTTTCTATGAGATGATTTTTTTAAAAGACAGCTTAAAAAATAAAAGCAGAGCTTGATTTTAACAATCCAGACAAATGTCCCAGATGAAGTAGAAACAAGAGATCATATAACATGTTCAAGGTGAAGGTGAGTGAGATGACCTGGTTCAGAGACGGTGAACACAGGCCCTGAACACCATCACCGCCTGGCCCCGCCCCTGTGACGGACGTCACTCATCAGTCACGCTGCTCTCTGCCACTGAGCCTGCAGTTCTCAACGAGTTCTCCGGAAGTCACTACCAATGAACTTATCAGGCTTAGTGCTGAGTGAAACTTACCTGCCACCCCTTTTGTGGTTCTGTCATTTCATTTTACTTTATAGGTAATGAAACAGAGACCTGGAAAGATCAAGTGACTTTCCCCACGATTAAACAGCCTCTAAAAGGCAGTGCTAGGACTCCAACTTCAGATTCTAAATCCGAGTCTCTTTTCATGATCACACCCTTCCTTTCTGCTCTACCCTTAACAAAACACTTGGCTTCTAGGGCTCTGGTAACTACTTTATTTTGCACTTATCAAGTGCTTTGTCATAGAAGAGTCTGCATAATTCATAGTTTATGGATATCTGCAGCATTTCTGCCTTCCTCCTACCTGAGAAGTGTTTGAAAAAGAGATTTACCGATTTGGGTTTTTTTACTGCGTCATGGTTTGGGGGCTTCTACCCGTCTCAGGCAGTGTCTAAAGGAAGGCCCGACTCGAGGTCTGTGGGGACAGATCTGTGAAGGGAGAGAGGAGACCTTCGAATGTTTCTTCGATAAAGGTGGCCAATGTAGAAGAAAAAAGTTAGCACAAAATGAGGTTAAAGTAACAGAAAAGAAAGCAAAAGGCTCAGAAAGGATGATCATGATCATAACAGTAAGTCCAGATACATTTTCAAAAACAAAAGTAGAAAAATCATGGAAGAAGAGGTACAACGAATCAGGTGGAATCCACCAGGACGAGAATTTCCAACCAGTGTGCGCCGACGTCGTGAAAACACGCAGTCCTCAGGGACACCGGCCTCTCTTTCCCTTCGTCACACACACAAAGAAATGACAACAGCCAGCACAACAGCCGTCTGGTGTGAATGAGTCAAAATTATACCTACTTTTTTACTGGATTGTCAAAAAAATATATTTTTGAAGTATGCTGCAGAATTTTAGGAATTAGTGTACGTAAAAAAGGTCGAAAACCGTCGCACTCAGAGACACAGTGAGATCAGCTTCTCCAACGGGGCGTGTCACGGGCAGCCGTGCCCCTACCTTTGGTAGGAGTCACGAAAAACAAGTATGTTTTGTTGTGGAGGTATTATTCTAATTTTTCTGTTCTAACGTTGGCTTTCTCTTTATGGGAAAGACTGCTTTTCATCCTAATACACATGACCTAATTAGAACCTTTTTCACTAATACATTAAATTACATAACTATATCCAATAACCTTGGATCTTGAAACTATTCCTCCAAACTAAAACTGCGAAATTTCCAAAATTCCCTTCTTAGTAACACAGGCCGTCCAAACAGACGACGAAGGGCCACTACTCTACGTGAACAGTTCTCATCGCTTTACTTGATCTGCATCTGCCTCCCCACCATGTTCACCTCTGGTCCACAGCAGATGGACCTTGCGTTTTGCAATTTTAATGTTTCTGAGGATGCACCTTGAAAGGGACCTGCAGGGAGTTCTACCCCGCACCTCGGGACCACCTGAACTTGACGGCAGTGATGGTTGTGACAACGCTGACAGCACTAGCCTCCACGCTACATGTGCTGTGTGTCTCAACCTAGGCTAAGCCTTTTAATGTATTATCTCACACAAGATACAGTATTGCTCTCCTCATTTAACTGGTAAGATGGGGCTGTAAAATCTTCCCGTGATGATAAAGGATTAGATAGCTGGTCTAACCCCAGCTGCACCTCAGAATCATGGTCTCCACCCTCTGATTTTGAGTTAATAGGTTTATTCTGGTACCTAAGGATTTATGTTTTTAATAAGCCTACAGGCTATGTATAGTATAATTTTAGTGTTTAACACAACTTACAGTATTTTCATTTACTAAAACCAATGGATAGTCTTATCAGAATACTGATTTAAACTGAATAATATACATCCCCCAACCATGCAAAGACAGGGTATTTACTATACCTGATAATCCAGCATGCGGAAGCTTGGAAAAAACTGACAAATTCGGGATTCAAAAAAATAGGGGAAAATCCAGAAAATGGGTAGTTCTTCGTGAGTGTTATCTAATGGATCACACAAAAAAGGGCAAATAAGACATTGATATTGATAAAAAAATTGATAAAAAAATAAAACAGCTATAACTGGAAAACTACTGGTATCGGAAGAGCCTGCAATTGCATACAGAAGGAAACAATGTGTACCAGAACGCCCCTTCCAACCAGACCTTTCCGAAGTCAGTCAATGGAGACGTACTTCTGTATCCAAACCCAGCCACAAAGGTGTGCAAAGTGATCCTTACACGCAAATCACAATAAGGCAGAGATGTTCCCCAAAAGATGGGAAACAGAATTTTCATGAGAGGCAGGGAACGCAGCTATTGTTTACAAAGCACCGAGGTAGGCCGAGCACAACGCCAGGTACTCTCTATGTATTACCTCCGTATAATGACCTCCGGAGTTAGAGATTAGCGACCCCATTTTGCAGAAGGGGAAGATGAAGCTGCAAGATCTAAGGAATCGGTTCCAGTTACGCAGCTGGTAAGTGGCAGAACTGGAATTCCAGCCCACAGAGCTCTTTACTGCTTCCCCAGTAACACAGACTTCACCCACTCAGACAAGGGACTTCAAAACTGGAAATCAGTGAAATACTTCACACTGTAAGTCACATTTTAGATTTTTTAGATTTCGTCTGCATTCTGTCCCCAAAGCACACCACTTACGTAATACAACTGATAGAGAAAACTGATCACAAACTCCTGACATTCTTAAAATGAATCAAATAACAAGCTGGAAAGTAAAAAATTAGTGGGCAGACTAATTACATAATGGTATAAAATACTTTGAAGTCCTGAGCTGCTTGAAACCGAACAGTTTTCAGTTTCGACCCTTACTCCCCGCGGAGGACCGGGTGTCCGTGTGCCACTGAGGACCACTGGCAGCCCACCGGACGTCTGGCCTTCCCACCCAAACCCTGGCACAGGTCAGCACTCTGGGCCAGAGGCTGGGTGCCCCTCAAGAGCTTTGGGAAGGACGGCAGGGACAGGGAACGTGAAGTCCGCGAGGACAGAGACGTGTGTCCTCCATCTCTAGCACCTACACAGGGCCTCGTGTGCAGTGGCCACTCAGTGAATATGCAGGGGTGGGCAGAGCAGGTTTACAGCTGTGAGTACATGACACACAGTTCATTCTTGTATTATTATTACTTATTAATTTTTGTATCATTTTCCACGAGAATTGTAAATCTGCTATCATCCACCCCTGTATTTATTGAAAAAAAAATGACAAGTTCACTGCTATTCTACATAATGTCCCTTTACTTGTCCCCACCAAAAGAAGATTTTACCTACAAGCTATTTTAAAAACACAATTAAGACAACACAAAGTATACCGTGATGGTAACATATGCCGCATTATCAGACAAGCCTGTTTTTTAAAAAAAAAAAGACTGGAACCTACAGTATGCATATTTTATCAGTGCCCTGATTCACTGAGATATGCTGCCATTTGACAGAAATTAGACACATCGACACACGTTTATTTTGGAGTAAGTAGTACATTACACACCTTCGCTTTGACCTTTTTTCCACATAGCAATTAACTTCTTGAATGTAACAGCCAGAGGTTCCACCAAGCCACCGAAAGGGGGGTCTGTCACCATGATGACTCCTTCACCTTTGTCGTCCTGTAAGAATGTCCTGCACACTTCAAGGGCAGCCTGGAACAAGCAGAAATTCATTTCTAAGTCAGGACCAGAGGGAGGGACTTCACCCCACTCGGAGGAGAACGCACTGGGCTCAGTGTCGCTCTCCGCACTGAAGTGTCACCCACCGGCCACCCCAGAGTGCCGGCCGCCCTGACATCCTCAGGGCCCTCTCACTCGGCCCCGTAAGATTTCATCTGTGGGTTTCTTGATACGTGGGTTTTTAAAGCTGCAAATTCAAACACCAGCACTATCAGAGGACTACACATTTCCAATGCTCAAATTAAAAAGCTAAATTTAGTAGCCTAAAAGAGAGAAACTCATTACCCATGGAGACTACCTAAAACGCTAAAATTCAATTCAACAGACAGAAGCAGGGACCGTGCCAGACAGTGGAGACGCACAGACGAATGAGACGTGTTTTCCTGTCTGCCCTGTCCACCACCAGCTGTCCAGTTTAATGAGAGCTGCAGTTACCAGGTGAACACGCACATGCTTCTGAGTGCCAGGTACACGGCAGACACACATGAACATGCACGGTGAGGAAATAAATGAGGGTTCACAAACAGCAAAGCTTATCCAGGCCATGAAAACATGCCATTAACACATGTGCCAACATACCGGTTGAAATGTTTTTAGTAACTGCAAACTTAACCACTGTCTAGGGTATGTGTCATTTTGTGCTTTGGGAGAAGTTAATAGGAGACACACCTGTGACTCCAGTCAACCGACTTTGTAACAGTTTTCAAGTACGGACTCATCTATAAGAACAAATCAGCACTTAACAATATATGGAATGGAATAGGATTTTAAACTTTAATGAAATTTTAAACTTTAATAAACCTATATGAACTTCATAATAAAATATATACTGCTCTACTACTAAATCAATTTAGAAGATCCAGTCGATGAGAGGAAAGGCACAACATCCCAATTCCTTTCCCTGGGAGACTCTCTCCCAGCTTCCTGCCGGAGGTCCCACAGCAAAGGACAGTGGGTCAGGAAGGTCAGCCCTCTTCAAGGCTGCCCGGCGCTTTCTTAACCTGCCTGCACGAACGAGGACCTAAAGCGCAGGTGATGCTGTTGAAAAGCCTTCAAATTCCTTAGAGCTAAAAGCAGAAAAAAGAAAATAAACAAGTAAACTAGGCCTAAACGCTTAACCAAACTTAAAAAACATTCAGGATATCTTTCCAGGTAAGAATCCATGTGGCAATGTCCTGTCCCGAGTGGTGGTGGGACCCCCGTGCTGACCACCCGTGGGGACCGATGATAGCTGTGCCCCCAGGGCTGACAGCGACTGAATGCTCTTCTTCATCTATCACTAAGAAACTGCCTGGCACTTTTTTTATTAAAAAAATTTTTTTAAGTATATTTTTTGATTATGCTATTACAGTTGTCCTATTTTTCTCTCCTCTTTATCCCCCTCCACCCTGTACCCCCCCTTCAACTCCCCCCCGCCTCAGTTCATGTCCATGGGTCATACATATAAGTTCTTTGGCTTCTCCATTTCCTGTACTATTCTTAACCTCCCCCTGTCTATTCTGTACCATTTATGCTTCTTATTCCCGGTACCTTTTCCCCCACTCTCCCCATACCCTCTCCCCACTGATAACCCTCCGTGTGATCTCTGTTTCTGTGATTCTCTTCCCGTTCTAGTTGTTTGCTTTGTTTTTGTTTTTTAGGTTCAGTTGTTGATAGTTGTGAGTTTGTTGTCATTTTATTGTCATAGTTTTGATTTTCTCTTTTTTCTTAGAGAAGTCCCTTTAACGATTCATAAAATAAGGTCTTGGTAATGATTAACTCCTTTAACTTGATCTTATCTGGGAAGCAGTTTATCTGCCCTTCCATTCTAAATGATAGCTTTGCTGGACAGAATAATCTTAGATGTGGGTCCTTGCCTTTCATGACTTGGAATACTTCTTGCCAGCCCCTTCTTGCCTGCAAGGTTTGAGAAATCCGCTGATAGTCTTATGGGAACTGCTTTGTATGTAACTGTCTCTTTAAGACTCTCTCCTCTTTCTTGGGTAATGTAATTATGTGTCTTGGTGTGTGCTTCCCTGGATCCAACTCTTTGGGACTTTCTGAGCTTCCTATACTTGAATGCCTGTATCATTCACCATTTTGGGGAAGTTCTTCTTCATTATGTTTTCAAATAAGTTTTCAATTTCTTGGTCTTCCTCTTTTCCTTCTGGCAACACAGTGATTTGGATGTTGGAATGTTTAAAGTTGTCCTGGAGGTTCCTAAGCCTCTCCTCATTTTTCTGAATTCTTGTTTCTTCATTCTGTTTTGGGTGAATGTTTATTTCTTCCTTCTGTTCCAAATTATTGATTTGATTCCCGGTATCCTTCCTTTCACTGTTGGTTCCCCGGATATTTTTATTTCACTTTGTATAGCCTTCATTTCTTCCTTTATTTTGTGTCCATACTCAACCATTTCTGTGAGCATCCTGATTACCAGTGTTTTGAACTGTGCATCTGATAGGTTGGCTATCTCCTTGTCACTTACTTCTTTTTCTGGATTTTTGATCTGTTCTTTTTTTGGCCATTATTCTTTGTATTGGCGCACCTGTTACATTGTAAGGGGAGGCACCTTAGGTGTTCACCAGGGTGGGGCAACCCATGTCACTGCGTTATGACACTGTCTGTGGGGAGGGGTCCAAAAGGGAACAGTGCTGCTTCCTCCACTCTCTGCCAGATTTCAGTCACTTCCCCGCTTCCCACAAGCAAATTGGGCCCTTCTGGTGCTGATTCCCGTGTGGGTGGGCTTGTGTACTTTCTAGGACCCTGTGGGTCTCTCCAACGAACTCTCCTGTGTGGCTGGGAGTTTCTCCCGGGACCTCAACCCCCACAGGAGTTTTCAATCAGTTTTGAGGCTCTATTTCCCTGCGCTGGAACCCTGGGTTGCGCGTGGTCTGTCTCAATCCCCAGTTGTTCTCCCCAGTTTATCTGCACAGGAACGTGGGACCGCCCGCTCCACCAGCTGCCACCTCGCCCACCCAGTCCACGTGCCACGTATCCTCTCTGCCCCGGCTGCCTGTCTCTGCTCCTCCTGGTCTGGATGGATGTTTCTTCTTTAACTCCTTGGTTGTCGGACTTCCATGCAGTTCAATTTTCTGGCAGTTCTGGTTACTTTTTGTTTTTAAATTTGTTGTTGTCGTCCTTCTTTTGGTTGTGCGAAGAGGCACAGTGTGTCTACCTACGCCTCCATCTTGGCCGGAAGTCTGCTTGGCATTTTAAATGCCACCCTCTATACCTACGTTAACCCCCTTTACTGTTAAGGCATATGACATTTTTTGTTATCCAAATGCTCTGTTACTTGCTATGAAAAATATCCTGTGCAGGAAGTGCCTGCTTTTTAATCCAGTGGACTGTAAAGTGCTCACACGCAGTGAAGAGACTATGTCCTCAAACTCCCCATACACCTTCACAGGCACCAAGCACACACGAAAACGCTTAGGGACTGATTAGAAGATGCTGTCTTTACTGAAAACCTTGACTCAGGAAGTCGGCAGGAAGAGGGCAGACAGTGAAGTCATTAAAACAATAGTTTTCCACAGATCAATCTCTACAGCTGCAGCGCTACTTAGAGGCTGTTCCTAAAACACGGAGCGGGGAAGGGCTGGGCTGGACGGCTGTTTGCGGCTGGAAAAACGAAGTGGAGCTCAGTCTTGGCAGCTCATCCCAAACATCACTCTAGAACCCTATTAGGCGATTCTACCAACTTTCAACAGAAGTTACACAGACTTTCCTAGAAAAAGGCTAATTGCACGTTACTTTCTTAAAATATATGAAGTTCCTAGCCAGTTGGTATTTAAATTTTACTGTTGTAGTTATTATTCAAAATAAAAAGTAAAATCATGGTGCGGTATTAAGAACACACTGCAGACCCCTGCGCACTGCTGCGGCATCGAGCAGTGACACACACTCGGCTGCTCCTCCATCTGCGTCGCCAGCCCCGAGCTCGAGAGCCCACACACACTTTCAAGAGGCTTCCACATCAATGCCCCTCCAGCCCCACAAACTCAAAGTGTCCAAACCTCTCTTCCAAGCACCCCTACCCTCTGTTTTGATGAGTCCAGGGCACACCACCCAGTCACCCTCGACTTCTCCCCCAGAACACTAGTCACCAAGTCCTTTTTTTTAAAATTGAGGTACAATTTTTTAAAATTCAGGTGTACAATATAACGAATGCAACCAAGTCTACTTTTTTCCATCTGTGAAATGTCTACAGAATCCACTTTTTTAAAAAACTGATTTGAGAGAGAGAGGACGGGAGAGAGAAGGAAAGTAAAACATCGATTTGTTGTTCCACTGATTTACGCATTCATTGGTTGATTCCTGTATGTGCCCTGACCCGGGATCGAACCTACAAACTTGGTGAATCTGAATGATGCTCTAATCAACTGAGCTACCCAGCCAGGCTCCAGAAGGCACTCCTTTCCTCTCTTCTCCCCACTTCCACCGTCCTAGTTGACAAGTGCCTCATCATCCACTGTCATGTGATTTTCCCATTCCTCTCCTTCACGCTTATCTGATCGGTTCTCAAATCCTAGTGACTATTAACCACATGAGCCCTTTGGGAAATGACGAAATATATCTAACTACTCAGCACTTGGTTTTCATGGCTATTACGGCTGATTAAATAGCTTTCCCAATGCTAAACGAACTGTGCTGGAAGGAGTGCATCATTGGCTGTGCTTACTAAATCAGAAGACCCATCTTTCAATCCCCACCAACAGTTCAGAATTTGTTCTCATTTCCTAGATATCTGGTTTCTTAGTCTGGCTTGGTTTTCCTTCTACCATTAGCTAGCATCTTAAAGCAGCACATATACTTAAGCATGGTTCACATTATTAAAAAATTGACACCCACACACATGCAGGCAGATATGCTTCACATGGTCTTGGTAATTCTGAAACATTTTCAAATTCAGAACCTCCTGTTGGGTGTGACTACTTGGTGGGTTGTGAGTTTTACTTTGTAACAGGGCTGACAAAGAGCTCAAACGAGGAGCAGAAGTATCAGCTTTACTGTGCTGTTTACAGATTTCCCACATAACCCCACCCCTACACATGCACAGCCTCCTGCATCAGCAAGGTTCCCCACCAGAGGGGTGTTGTTACAGCCAAGGCACCTAAGCTGATACATCGTTATCACCTAGAGTTCACAGTTTACATTAGGGTGCACCCTTGACACTACTTTTTAAGGATTTCATAAAACCACAAATCTCCTTAACTGGGACATGAAATGTATCAGGGAGGCAGACACAAACAACTAACCACCCGGAATTATTTAATTATAGTATCGTAAATCTAGGGAGGAGAACTTGACCTTGTCTGGAGCTCAGGGAGACTAGAGAAAGCTGACTTGGAAAAGAGCCCCGAAGGATGAGGTAAAGGCAACGAGGCAAAGAGAAAGTAGAAGGCAGAGAGGAGGGCCAAAGGCCCTGTGGTGGGAAGGTCAGTTCCAGATGAAAGTTCGAGGTCGAAGCCGTGTGCCCTGACGGCAGACAGCGAGCAAAGCAGGAGCAGGGCGAGGGGGAGCTGAGGAGTGGCAGGCCTCGGGCCACACAGCCACACGGGCCTTGGTGAGGAAGCGGGTCTTCACCCGAAAAGTAGTGAGAAGTCATGAAAGAGGAATAATCTGATCACTTCTAGATGCTCAATACATACTCGGTCCATGGATAAAAACATCTCTACTGATAAATGGTGGAATGGTGACAATTTGATCTGAAGGGACTTTAGAAAAATAGCAAAGGAGACAGTCTTGAATTTGTTCTTCCACAAGTGAAGAAAGAGAAAATGGTTATAAATCTTACCTCTCCATCAAAGAAGTGATGGTTAAACATGTTATAATGGCAAAAGCTATCTTCCATATAAAACTGTGAATACCTGTAAAATAATTTATTACTGGAGTTACTTGTGTAGTCATAGTTATGCCATCAATAAATACAAACTAAATTTTAAAACTATGAAATCACACCTTTAATAAAATCAATTTTATCATTCCTTAAAGTGTTCTGAAATAATGCTTCCCTCAATCTTAGTTGTTAACAGTGGATAATGAGTAATGTACTTAAATTATGTTCCTAAGTTCAGTGAATCAGTGATAAAACTGTGGAATACTCATACAAAAAATACACACATTCTTATGGACCAGAAGAGCATACATAAGAAATCAGGTTACTGGTAGACTATTATGTAGTTTAAGCCTGACATGGGTTGGTGATTAAAATACATCTCTCATAGTTAATAATTTTAAGGAAAATACTAAATCAACATTTCTCCTCAATAGCTATTAATTACTGTATTTTCTTCTGCGATTACGAAAGTGTATTTAATGAAGTTTTTCTTGTCTATTGCAGATTAGCTTTATAAAATGTGCTTTTCAATATGTTAAAAAAAGAATCATGTGCATTTCATATTTACTGAATTAGTACCAGGAAAGAGGGATTTTATACAAGGTCTGTCCAGAAGGTGTCCAGACATCTGGTATGAAAAATAGAGACATTAATTGGGAAAGATAGAAGATACAGGAAACATTGTACATAGGGCAATGACGCCTCAGTCCCCTTCAAAGTAGGCACCTTGGGACCTCACACAGTCTCCTAGTCACCATCAGCTGCCCTGTCGTATTTTCCTGAATCTCACCAACAGTATGAAATCTCTTCCCTTTCAAAGGTGATTTTAGTTTTGGGAGAAACTAAAAGTCACAGGGCGCCAAATCTGGGTTACAGGGAGGCAGAGTCACCTGCGTGATTTGATGTTTTGCCAAAAAACTCTGCACAAGACGTGATGCATGAGCAGAGGCATTGTTGTGATGAAGCTGCCAATCACCAGTTGCCTATCACTGCGGCCTTCTGAGTCATCTGAGTAGTTTCCATGGAGGCATGTTCAAGCTCACTGCAAAATCTGACGCAGACTCACTGTTGTACTCACTCAGTGATTTTGAATGCGACGGCTGCACAGTGCACATGCTCACTCAACAGTGTCTACCGCTCCCACTGAGTAGTACAGTGAAGTCGTCACTGTTCACACATGTGCATTTGGGTCCACTCCCCTTGGTTGCCAAATTACAGCAATGTTGTGGAAACCATTCTTGTTAACAATGGCTGGGCTTTTTCCAGACAGACCTCATCTATTTATTCATGTTATTTTATTTTTAAAAACATTTTACGAGACATGTTCACGCTCCTGGGTAGTCTCAGGAGTGCCTCATTTGCACTGATTCTTAATCTTTGTGAACATCAGAATCATTAGTGGAGCTTTGCCTTTTCCTTTAAAAAAATCATTAAAATAGATACATACATAACCACCTGATCCAAAATTTAAAAGGTATAAAATGCTCTGAAAAGCAAGTCCCCTTCCTGACCCGTTCCCATCCATCCAGCTCCCTTTCCAGAGGCAACTGCTGTCCCGGATTTCTGCAGAGACGGTGTGCGCAAACACAGTCTCGGACGGTGCAAAGGGCAGCACACTCTGCATCGTTCTGCTCTTTACTTTTTTTAACTTCGCAAGAAATCTTGGTGATAGTTGCATGTCAGTTCACACAGCACTTCCTCGGTCTTTTTTAGAAGACACAGAGTATTAATTGCACAATTCTGCCAGAGTTTAAACATTCAGAACATTTTCCGACACGTGGCTTGTGTCTAGTCTTTTCTATCACAGTCACTGCTGCATCACTGTCTGTCCTCAAGGCCTCTCCATTTCCCATGATATGCACATGCCACCGTACAGTCTTAGAAATAAAACCACTAGGTTGAAGAGCATGGCTTTCCAAATAGTACTGCTAAATTTTGCTGATTACACTCCCCTTCTCAAAGTATGAAAGAACCCGTTTACACGTGGGACTCAAACAAAAATCTCTGAGTGTGGGATCTGGACATCTGTATTGTAGGTCTCAGAAAGAGATTCTGAGCCAGAAATTCCCTTGGGTTCCCTCGACCACAGCCCTTCCTTCCCCCAGGGATCTGCCACAGTGAGGCAAACATGACCTCTAGGCCTGAGGGGCCTCAGCTCGTGCCGGGCAATGCCAGCACTGGGGCTCATAGGGACCTAGGTGGCAGGTCTTCTGTCCCTCTAGGGGGTCTATGCATCCCCCTCTAGGTCATAGCCAGAAAATGCGGTTTTTCCACTTTCATCCAAGGCTCTTGTTAGGGGCTAGAACACAGGCCATGCCACGGTTACAGCCACGTGGGCATCTTGGAGGAGCCCAGTCTCCACGGGGCTTCTTCTGTAAGTCCTCGGTTATAAGGCTTGTCTTCAGCCAGTCTCCAGCTGGTTAGCCAGGATGACTGCTCTGCAATTTAGCTGTAATTCCAGGTTGGTCCTGGGAGGAGCTGGGCGTAGCTTCCACCTACTCTGCTGCCATCTTGGAACTCCCCTGAGTGATTTTTTTAACGTGCAGTATTCTTGTAACATTGACATTCAAGACCAAAAAACAAAACTGTGCCAGCAGCTAGAACCATAACACAACCCATTAATCTGCCATAGTTTGCTGACGAAGAGGGATATTTATTTACTGACTAAGTCACTTTATTCTTCTAATGTACTACTTTATTTAAATTTTTCAAATTAAAAAATTTTTTGCAATTGCAGTTTTACAGTTGACGTACATTATTGTATCAGTTTCAGGTGAAGTAACATACTACTTTAAAATGCCATCTGCAGTGAATGAGAGTACCACCAGCTTTGGGTCTTAACATTTTATACACTTTTGCTAATTTACCAGGCAAAATTCATACTAGGTAACTTATTTGATTTCTTATAAGACTGAAATTTCTTTATTGTTTAAGTATTATTTGCACCCTTTGTCTGTTTTCTCCACTTATGTATATAGGTCTTAATCTTCTTCTTGCTGACTTCTGAGTTCTTCATATGTCTTGGAAACCTCACTGCCAGCTCCACAGAGCTGTGAACTTCGGCAGCTTTGTTGTGAACGAGGCACACGTGAATCCCACTGTCCTTCTGTGGAATACATCCCTCGTGGGGTGACTGGACAACATTGGGGAGGTGCCCTCACGCACACGACTTCCTCAACCAGCCCCCGATGGCAGCACCTGTCTGAGCCCACGGCTACTCTCAGTTGTCCGTTCCCGTCCGCAGCCGACTCCCCGCCCCGGTGAGCGTTCTGACGGGCACCCCTGGCTCGTCCTCTCCTCGCACGACGTGGTGAACAGCATGGGCTCCGTAGTCGGACGGCCTGGTTTCAAACTCTGGGTCTCCCTGGTTAGTTGTGTGACCCTAGTAAGTTATTTAACCTATCTGAGCCCGTTTCTTCATCTACAAAATGAGAAACATAGTGGCTTCTAAATAATAAGCCTCGGTACGAATAAATGAGATCAGGTATGTAAAGTGCTTAATACAGGGCCAGCTACATAGCACATACCAAAATGTTAGGTATCATTATTTTAATAAACACCAGCCATAAAGATTTATGTCTTAATGTCCCTAATAGTAGGGAATTATTTCTAGGTCCAACAAAATCTCTCCTCCTATAATCTAAACTGTTTCTTCTTGTTCTGTGGAGACGAAAAATAGCTGTGCACCGTTCTCAATATATCACCGCTCAATATTACTTAAGACACTGTCAGTATGTCTGCTAATTTCATAAAACGAATTTGCACTGAAGAAATAAAAGGTGTGGATAACTGAAAAACATTTAGACTACATACAGTAATGTAGTATTACAATTACTGTGGGGCAATACCAATTATCGTTAATAACAAACAAGTATCTTCTTATTTAACTAAATTCCAAATTCATAACATACAGGTGTGGGCAAAGGTAGGTTAACAGTTGTTAGTATGGAAAAATATGTAATACAAGAATAAACTGTGTTTCAGGTACTCACAACTATAACCCTGCTTTTGCCCACCCCGGTATATATCTCAGTTATTTACTGAATATATACATTTATCAACGCTAGTACAGCTGTGAGTCAACTATCATGCGATTTTTCTTCTCTTTTGCACTGCTTTGTATAAGCAAGAAAAAAAAATCCCTATTTAAAAATATTCCTACTGTCTCTCCACTTTTTATTGCTTCACAATGACACAAGTCATTTTTTAAAATTAAAACTGAAAATTTTATTTACAAAAAATTAAACCCAGCACAGCTGTCCAAAACTTTCTGGGCAGCAGTGAGTACAGCCAGAGAGAGAAAAAAGCCTAGATTTCAGCTGTAAGTTCCATCAAATACAAACAAGGGAGCATAATTATTTGTATTTTAAATTATGAAAAATAACTCAACATTACCCTCTTAGAATGAAATTGGCCACAAAGAATTACTCTCTCCATTGAATAAAGCAAACAAAACCAATCAGAAACGCATGCATTTGAAAACTGCTCAGAAGGACATTCGTTTAATTTGGCCATTCATTCTCTTTAAATGAGTCCGTTACCAAGTGTGAAACATGCTCTACACCCAGGAAATGCAATCAAGAGCTGAATAAAATCAGTTCATGAGATGAACGCAAGAACTCCATTTTTCTGATATAACTTTATTTGGATGGTAGTTTACCAAATAGAGTTTCACATACTTCATTCTAAAACTAGAGCATACAGAAATCCATCTCAGGAAATACTCGCTTCACATCTCGGGCCTCCAGAAGAGGACACGTGTCTGCACGGAGCACCGGTGCTGAGGCGGGCGGTCCTCCGCGGCCCCGGACTACCTTTTGCAGGGCGGCGACCAACCACCGTCCCAGTGCAAAGTAACTATGCACCGCCACTCCAGACCACAAGGGAGTTTTTTCCTATTTAATTCCAAGAAACCTGAACCACCCACATAGTCCACTGTACTGTAAATACAGGCAATGAAATGAATGCGTCCCGGCTACTCCTATGTTTCAGTGAACCAGCTCTCTGTTAACACTCATGCTGACCTTCTGC